ACAAATCTTTTTTACACACACATAAATTCTTTTTTACACACACATAAATTCTTTTTAAACATACAAATCTTTTTTACACACACACAAATTCTTTTTACACATGCAAATCCTGATTTACAAGTACAAAATATTTATGACCACAATTTGAGCCCATAGACTAGCAGTCTTCTTAAGATCATTTGTAAAAAAAAAAAAAAAAAAACTTCTTTTGTGTGTGTCTGTGTTGCAGGTAAATAAATCAAAGTGCTTAATTAACTGAATTTGCAGCTTAAAGTATAAAAGTGCTTTTAGTCAGCAACACTAGAAAATCATTATGTCATGTTAATTTATTTAACACCCAGTAATAATGTGATTTATTTATTGTGTGTTAAGTTATACTGATGTTGAATTGAAATGCTACTGACCCAGTTGTATAATTATTGTTCACATGTGTGTTTTTTTTTTTTTTTTAGGTTTGTACCAGTGATGGCAACCCTGATCCAGCTGACTTCAGAGTCGCAGAACTCTCTTGCAACCCCTGGCTCTCCTCCATCCGAGATTTCAGCCCCCATATCCAGCCTAGCTATCTCTGTTCCCTCTGTGACTTTAAGTCCCTCTGGTGAGGAAGAGCGCCCTTTGCTGCATCAGCTGCACAAGTCCTCAAGCCGGGATGTACAAAAGAGAACCTCTTCACACTACAATCATGGCCATGTGGCAGATAGCTTACCATCTAGTCCACTGTTTGCTATGGAGAATACTGACTACCAAACCATACAGGACACCAGAGCTGCCAGCTATATGTTTTCAATAGCACCTGTGAAATTAATTAACACAAACAACAATGTAAGTGACTGCAGCAACAATAGTGTCACTGACCATGTGGTTGATTATTTGAGGTTAAATGGTGACAGCATGCTAGTAAGTGATACAGAGGAGCCTCGGGGGGAACACATACCCTTCCTAAGTGCAGACAGGAATACAGTCCTTTTACTCAGGGCTGTAGATAGCGGCAGGACTAACCCAGCATCACCAAATGATGACCTACCAGTGAAGTCATCTAGCCTCATCAACCAACAAGATCTAATTGCTGCGTAAAGTAAAAAAAAAAAAAGAAAGAAAAGAAATTGCTAAGATTACTTCACATGGAGGAAGAATATAAACAATCTTTAAACCTTTATTTTCGATAAATTCTCATAATTTATTTGCTGTGTAAAGACTTTTAAAGACAAATGAAGAATGAAACTTTTATTTTAGAGATGTAGTAAATAAAGTTTTATAAAAAAAAACAGTACAAATGTGGTCATGTCTTGTAGGTAAAGTGCCATACGCTAGTATGCAGCAGTTCATAGTATAGTTAAAAGAATATTTCAGTGCAGACAAATATCAATGGTGCCTTTCTGTTTAGTATGCTTAAGGGGCCGTAATATTGCATACTGGGCCATGTATCACCCTCTTATTCTTCAAGTTAATAATCAGATGCTCTATGTTGTCTGCCTTTAACATCTTGCACTTTAGGGCACCCACTGACATATTTGAAATCAAATGTTATGGGTTCAAAGTGCATGCTATGTTCTTAAATGCTGTCATGAAAAAATGAGCAGACAGTTGACTTGAATTGATGGTTTTCCTACCTGATGTCCTACTTTTATCACAGTCTTATGGTATATATTATTAGTAAGCTTATAACCTGGATTCCATCAAAATGTCAGAGATCTTAATAATTTTATTCATCACTGGACTACACTGTGGATGACCTGCCAGAGAATGAATATTGTAGCTGTGAGATAAATATACATTCATTAAAGTTTGCCTCAACAAGGTGCATAAGATACACACAAAGAGTTGTTTTTGTTTTTTGTTTTTTTTACATTTATATTGAGCTAGATATTTACATTCGACCATTTCTATGTTTAAGAAGTATTCACTGAATTGTATGGCATTGTTATAACAATTAAACAATGTTCATGCTTAAAGAGTAGCGGCCTAATAATCCTAAGGTTTCTGGTATGGGTTAAGCTGGATGCTGGTTTTCACATGCCCCATAATCCTCCTTAGAAGTTTTATTTATTCCTATGCTGACAGATGTTCTGCCTAAGTATAAACTGTCTCAGTTAAGGTGGTACAGTCAACGACTACTAGTGTGAAGACCAGCAATTCTAATAGTATCTTTAAATCAATAATATCTACAAAGTTTTTAGTAAATTAGCTACAAGATCTATGTCTGATTTGTTCTTGTGTGAATCCAACCAGTGCCTTGTATTGCACTGTGGATCTTAGAGAAGTGCTGAATGTATAAATTGTGGTAATTTCCTTTAATTTAAACCATATTTCTGAAAAAAAATTTGAAATTGAAATCCCCCCCAAATTAACTTGTTATCCTCTTGCTGTAAGAGTCAAGTTCAGGTTTTTCCTTTTAATTTAAATGACCTGTCTTGATATACAATTACAATTAATTACAACAGATTTGATATAAACAATGCAAGATATACAGTCATTTCATCTGCACACCTTAGTACATAGAGAAAAAAATATCTTGCACATTTTGTCACTTGAATGCTTAGCATAACGCAGAGAACATTGTTTTGAAATGGGAGTGTCTTTAATTTATGTAAATATATCAGGAAAATCTCCTGCATTGTTGTTTCTCACTGAATATCACATTATGTGTTTTGTGTGTTAGTGTCAAAGCATTTGGGATTGAAAAAGAACTTTCAGTTGTTCTGTCTCACTATTGATTGATACAATGAAAGTCTTGTGCAGCTGTAATAATAAATAAAACACACATTTCACATTTGAGCATACACATGAACATGATTTATATGTCAAATCTATGGCTTTTTATCAGTTTGTTTTTTTCGGTAAGGACTGATCATTTTAAAGAACTGAAGATGAATTCTCAGTTATAAGCTATTTGTAATTAGACCTTCTGGACCGCTCATGGCAGAACAAAGTCCCAACAATGATAGGAATTAGGACAAGACTCCTGGTGTCTAGATGCTGGCAGTGGTGGAATTGAGGATGAAGGCTTGGATGTGGGTTCTGAATGGAAGAAAATGTGGAGGAGTCTGGTTGCACATATGAGAGTCTGAAAGACAGAATGACAAAACAGCAGTGAGATTTAAAGCACACATAAGAGAGGCTGATTGTCTTGCAGCAGGCAGGCAAGAAAATTATCCAGCTTAGAGTGATGATGTCAGTATTGTCAGAGTTGTTTGACACTGTGGGAAAGTGGATGTGATGTAAAGAATGGACTTGCAGTCAAAAACCCAGGAAAGCAGGCAGATTAGTGAATAATTTCTTATAGTAATGCTATCAGTAACTATAGTGTTTAGACTACACAACTTCAAATTAAGTCCTGGCCGCATATTACACTGAAAATAAATAATAACACAAATTTGTACTCCTTTTACATACATGTTATTCTATGTGCTGAGCAATGCCATTTTGTTTTAATTCTGTATTTTACTTGTATCTTTGATACCCATTAAACATGTATTTTTTTCATGTAATGTCTTCTTTCATGAAAGCAAATAAAAGTAATTTTTGAGCACAAAATTTTGATTTGTTGACTTATTGAGTGCATAAGGTAAAGCTGCAGATCTTGCCAAGCTTTAAGCAGTTTAGGAAAGCTAAAGACACATGGGTAGCGGGACAACTTCAGTCCTGTATCATTTAATTAATATAATTAATAATGAATTCATCTTACTGCTGGCTATCATATGATGTATATTAGCTTGCTGATTAAAGGTAATATATATTACTAATTTATGATATATATTATAATATATTGTAGTAAACTTACCATTTAGTTCACCTTTAGTTCAGAATGAACCCAATCCTGGCACCATTCCTCTTCTGCAGCTTTCTGACTACTTCACTCGTCACCATGGCAACCACCTCTTACCCTCCTTTAGACCTGCATGAAAAGAGAGAATTCTCCAAGCCCAGAAACTCGTGACCATGTTTACCTTCTGGTGCACTCACTAGTGAGACAACCCTCCCCCTTAAATTCCTTAGAGAAGGGGACTTTCTCTGTATTAGTAATAGTATCAGAGTAACAGTCCACCTCTAAAACTTCTCCGCAATACACTGTGTGCAGTAAATGACAAAACACAAACACACATATGTGATGCTAATTATGAGATATTAGCCTTACAGACAAACATAAATCGCAACACGGAGGCTTGGGGACCTCATTTCTTCACACCACACCAATAAGATGCTCTCTGATGGTTAGAAGGGATGGCTACTGTGTCACACATAGCTTTGCACTACTAAAGTGTTTTTGGTAACATGAGACTGACCAAGACAGAAGTATGAAGAGTGTGAAGAGAGATAGTGAAATGCGCCAGTGCTTCTACAAGTTGTCAGACTGACAACCCGTGGAAGGCAGTAATTGGTGTGCAATATTTTTACAGGAGGGCTAGTGGAGACAATGACATCTAAGGATAGGAATTAAATTCTGAGTAGTTCAGTTGTACTGGGTCCCAATTTCCAGTAGTTTAATGCTTTAGAAATGTTAGTCTGCTTGCTTAACGATTTTGCTTATCGGTTCCACTTGCACTTGTGCTACAATCACATGATTTCCATTCCAGTGCTGGAGGAGGAAAATAATGATGCAGTCTATAGGGTGGAAATGGACATTAATTTTATTTTTACTTTACAAAAGGACAACAGAGCAATGGTACAGTGCAAGCTGCATACAGGACAGAAACAACTGCATTATGCTGCTAACAAAATAACATACTAAACATACTAACACTAGCAAGATTAGTGTTAGTGTGCTAACACTAAGCTTGCTAGCTTTAATTCACTTTGTGACTCACTATGTGGTTTCCTCAGTCTGCTGGTTTAGAGCCCCCAGACAGGAGGATTCGGGGTCACCGAATTGAGCACTAACTATATATTTTATCAAAAAGGAAAGTTTTAGGCCTAATATTAAAAGTTAGAGAGAGTGTCTGTCTCCTAAATCTGAAGCTGCTTCCACAGAAGAGGGGCCTGAAAGCTGAAGGCTCTGCCTCCCATTCTTCTACCAAGTAAGCCTGCAGTCTGACATTGATGTGCTCTATTGGGGTTATACGGTAGTATGAGGTCATTAAGTTAAGATGGGGCCTCATTATTTAAGACCTGATGTGTGACGTGAAGGATTTTAAATTGTACTCTCGATTTAACAGGGAGCCAATGAAGAGAAGCTAGATAGGAGAAATATGCTTTCTTTTTCTAGTCCCTGTCCGTATTATTGCTGCAGTATTTTAGATCAACATATCCTCTATAACTTAAAGTGGTCAGTTTGACATATATTACAAGTGTCATTATCCTGTTTTTCTTCCTGGCATTATCAAGTCTTTGAGTTTTGTTTTGGACTCGTTATTCACTTTTTTGATAGTAAGAAGTTAATTATGATCTAGTTGAGGGTGTTACTTTCTGGTTCCTCTGAGTTTGTATTTATAGTTTTTGATTTCTGGTCTGTTCATGTCTGTCCCAGTCTCATCTCCATGTTTTGTTATTCTTGTTTTGTTTGTCTCAGTGCGTGTGTTACAGAGATGGGCAGTAACGCGTTACTGTAATCTGATTACTTTTTCAAGTAACGAGTAAAGTAAGGGATTACTATTGCAAAAAAGGTAATTAGATTACCATTACTTTCCCGTAGGAACGCTGCGTTACTGTGTTACTAAAGACGTAAGTGAGTGCAACGTTCGTGGCAACAGCTGTGTGCAGATCAACAATGGATAATATATCGAGTGCAGGAGAGAGTATGAGCATGCAGCGTTTAAAGTGTGGAAGTACTGACCTTACTTTGAGTTTGATTCCATAAAAAGTGACAAAAACATTAGTGTCCGTTGTGCGTGGGAAGAAAACTTCTTTTTACAGTGGAAAAAAAAACCCTAAACAAGCACCGAGTGCGCAACGACGTAATGGGAAATTCACAGAGAAACTCGCGGATTCTTCAACTGACCGCTGCGGCACACCTGCACTAGGGCGAACCTCCGCCTACGCCACTCCTGCTTTACAGGTGAAAATAGAGCAAAAGGACAGCTGAGTCTTTGATTTTATTTATTTTCTGCTGTGTTTTACTTGCATCTATTTGAAAGACTGAGTGTAAACACAAAAAATATATTTTTTTTATGTGCTGGAATGTGCAGAAAATAGGTTTAAATGTTAAACTAATTTATTCAAGTCAGAGAATGGTGCATATAATTGAATTTTTGCTTGATGCATAAAGTTAAAAGTTTTAAACTGATAAAACAAGTTAAAAAAAAGATACTTTTCCATTTGATTACATTTTGTATGATGCATTATGCAGAAAAAGTAGAATTGGGCTGAAAGATCTATCACTTTATCACCTATTCAGGTTGGAAATCGTGTTTTTTAAAAGTAACTAAGTAACTAAGTAATTAATTACTTTTGAAAATAAGTAATCAGTAAAGTAACGGGATTACTTTTTGGGGAGGTAATCAGTAATTAGTTACTTATTACTTTTTTCAAGTAACTTGACCAACACTGGTGTGTTACTTCCTCTTTTATTTATAAATATATATTTATGAATAAGCATATATTTGACCACTTGGACCACTGTGAGCGACATCAGACGTGTGCACTTACATTTATGTTACACTACTTAATTAACTGCTTTAGCCCACTTACAATGAAAATGTAAAAAAAAATCTTGTTCATGACCTGTGTAGTATGTTAACACTATTGGAAGTAAAAATAAATTGAAATCCAATTTCGAAAACAAAACTTTACTTATTTATTTATTT